TGGGCAACATAGGAAGACTCTGTCTCTACAAAAAAAAAAAAAGAAAAAAACACAGAACCTTTTATTGCGTAGCGGTATTCCATGAATTCCATGATATGAATCTACTGTGGCTTAGTTATCCATTCTCGTATTGATGAACACTGGAGTTGCTCCCAGTTTTAAACCATTATAAATAAAGTTGCAATTAGCATTCTTTTACAAGACTTTTTGTGGACATATGTTTTCATTTATTTTTGTGGAAGTACTTAGGAGTGAAATGGTTGGATAGTAAAGTAAGGGAATGTTTATGGGAATTGCCAAACTCTTTCCCAGTACGGCAGTCTCACTGTGCATTTCCATGAGCCTCAGTTCCTCTGCACCCCCACCAGCACTGAAAACGGTCAGTCCTTTTTACCTTAGTCATTCTAGTGAGTGCGTGCTGATATCTCATTGTAGTTTTAATTTGCATTCCCTTGATGACTAATAATATTGACCATCTTTCTATGTGCCTTACATTTTAAGCTAACTAACATTTTATCTATTGTTTGGAAGAGTAATTTCCCAGATGGAGTCCAAACTGAACACTATTTACCATGAGTCCAAACAATGGGTGTTACCTCTTTTCTTGTGGAACTCTAAAACCATTCCCTTTCCATCATTTTCTCCCAAAATGTCCCAGTTTGGCTCTATTTCTAGGTAAGTATTTCTACATACTCCTGTGCTAGCTTTGTTAAATAGGCCATAAACATGTGTTTGGTGCTTTCATTTAACATCTTCAGGATTGCAATTAAAATCCTCGAACAAAAATGGTATCTGAAGTTATCTTAAGGCATTCAGCATGGCCCCATTCAGAAATCACAACCTTCCATTAGCATGGCATTAGAGATAACGGCTGGGAGGTGGCTTTTACACTGGCTTTTACGCTGCAGTTCCTTAATGATGTTTGCCAGCTGAATGATATGATCAGGCAACATAAAAATGAAATGGTTGTTGCCCTCCTAATAGCAGAGTAAGTAATAGAATAACTACAAGGATGACAAACCTCCACAGAAGGAGGATGATTAAGGATGCTGATGGATGTATCAGCAGGAGAACAGAGATCCATCTCACTGCGGGATGAATGCAAACCTTTTTTTCATGACGTGAACTCAAGCATATAACATTGTGAAAAGCAAAAACTTACATCAATCAAAGCCTGCGTGCAATGCTTCAGAGACATGGAGGTCAGGTTTTTTTTTTCTTTTTCTTTCTTTCTCTTTGGGACAACTTTACTTATTTTATTTTAAAATTTAGGTACTAATCTATTGATTTATTTCTTGTATCTAACATTTATTTATTTCGGAAACAAGGTCTTACTTTGTCACCCAGGCTGTAGTGCAGTGGCACAATCACACAACCTTGACCTCCTGGGCTCAAGCAATCCTCCCTTCTCAGCCTCCCAGGTAGCTGGGACTACAGGTGTGCATCTCCATGTCTGGCTGATTTTTTGTGTTTTTTGTAGAGATGAGGTCTTGCTATGTTGCCTAGGATCATCTTGAACTTGTGACCTCAAGTGATCCTCCTGCCTTGGCCTCCCAAAGTACTGTAATTACAGGCATGAGTCACTGCACCTGGCCTGTTTATTTACTTAAAATGAATGAACAGAACAAGTTACTTTGCCAGATTGGAATAAAATAGAGAATGAATTATCTCCAACTTGGGGCAAAAGATAGCCCTAATATTTTAATTGTTCTAATTAATCACCCCCTTGTACTAGGACAAGAAGAAAGATTCTAGGCAGATGGAACATTTGTGAAGTCAAGGAGGTGAGGAAGAAAATGTTGAGCTAGCTTTGTGCAGTGGCAGTACCATAGCCAAGGAGGTTTATCTGAGGCGTGATTATTGCTAATTAAAATTTTCCCAATGCCCTGCTGTGACAACTTGTAATATAGTCGGCACTGGCAATTTTTGACAGTCTGTACAGAGACCGAATTAAAAAAAAAAGGGAAAATGTTGGACTCAGTGGAGTTCAGGAAATTTGTGACTGTGTGTGTGTGAGTGTGTGCTGCCATGGGGAAAAACCTGGAAAAGATAAACAGAGGCCAGTGAATGAAACTCCATGCCCACAAGCTTAGATTTTATGGTAGACCAGGGCTGAATACTCAAATGCCTTCGGAAGTGAAGTAGATAAGTCAATGAGTGAGGATGCCTGGATGTAAGAGATAACTTGGCGCAAGAGTGGTATGAAGGACAAGGGATGCCTCGGCAGGAGGAAAATAAAGTGGGTGGTCATTACTCATCTTAACCAGTGCTTGGGCCAGGGAAATCTGGGCTCAATGACTGCAGATCTTAGGATTTTTAACAGAGGCTGAAAATTTAAATTTCTGTGAGAAAATTGCAAATGCAGAACACTTGGCAACAATTTCAAGTAAAAAATATACTGTAGTCACTATTGGGTAGATGAGACAAAACGTGTCTGTAGGTTGGAGTCAGCCTAGGGTCATGAGTTTGAGACACCTGATCGGGGTGGTAATTTAATATGTTGATATGATCTTCCTAAGGCCCTAGTCTTGCTCATATATACTCTTCGTTGCTACTGTATCCTTTCTCAGGATGTGCCCTCTCTATTAGGTTTCTCCAGAGGGACGGGTTTAATAGGATCTATGTATATACGACAGGAAGTTTATTAGGGAGAATTGGCTCACACGATCACAAGGTGAAGTCCCATGATGGGCCATCTGCAAGCTGGCAAAGAAAGAAGCCAGTAGTGCCTCAGTCCAAGTCCGAAAGCCTCAAAAGCAGGGAAGCTGATAGTGCAGCCTTCAGTCTGTGGCTGAAGACCTGAGACCCCCTGGCTAACCACTAGTCTAAGTCCAAGAGTCCACTAGTCTAAGTCCAAGGCCAAAGAACCTGGAGTCTGATGTCCAAGGGCAAGAGGAATGGGAGGATGCATCCAGAATGGGGGAAAGATGGAAGCCAGAAGACTCAGCAAGCCAGTTTATCCTACCTTACTCCACCTGCTTTGTTGTAGCCATGATGGCAGCCAATCAAATGGAGCCCACCCACACGGAGGGTGGGTCTTCCTCTTCCAGTTTACTGACTCAAATGTCAATCTCCTCTGGCAACGCCCTCAAGACACATCCAGAAACAATACTTTACCAGCTATCTAGGCATCTGTCAATCCAATCGAGTTGACACTAATATTAACCATCGCCTCCTCTGCCTGTGTATACTTCAAGAATGATTTGAGATGCCCTTTACTCATGAAAACCTCATGCTGGGTTGGATGCCCTTTCTCTCTGCTCTTAGGATATGAGGCTTCCCTGTATGCGAGCATTTAATGACACTGCTCTATCATTATCTGCTCACAATCAGTCTTTCTTATGTAGCTGAGCTCTATGAAGACAGAGCTTGTCCTTTATGTATCTGTGTTAACACTTGGGCCTGGCTTGGTTAACATGTTTATTGAGCATGATTGTATTTTGTGGGCCAACGAGACTGGTGAAGTACAAAAAATTTTGTTTGACAGAGGCAGATCGCTTTCCCAACTTTGGCCTGGTAATCTTCAAGGTATGGTCTCCATTTGTAAAATGGGGATAATACTCACTCTGTTTGTTGTGAGGATGAGAGATTATACTTCATTAGCAAATGCTTGACAAACCATTCACTTTTTAAAAAAAAATAATGAATACTTCTTATTAATGGCATTGGTGTCTATGATGTCATCTGTTTGGGACACATCAGGCACATAGAAGGAAGTCTGGAAATTGTGTGTTAGAATGGTTCAGGGCATTCCCATGGTCCACAGCCTATGATTTACTGGTGGACAGATAGTGTTATCTATGGGCAGAGAGGTCAGAACAAAGATAATTCAGGCTGAAAAAGGTATCCTGATCTCTAGCCTAGATTTGTTTGTGTTGAGGATGTTCCAAGCAGGAGAGGGATACTCTGTTAGATATGGGGAAAACTCTCTCATCCAGGGACATAAACAAGGGCAATTGTTGGCAATGGGTATCTCAAACCTATTGAGCCTAGAACAGAAATTGTCAAACACTTCCTGTAAAGGATCAAATAGTAAACACTTTACAGGGCAGACAAGCTCTGTTGCCATTATTTAATACTGCCACCTAGGGCACAAAAGGAGTCATAGACAATATATAAATGAATAGCCATGACTATGTTCCAATAAAACGTTATATATAAAAACAAGTAGAACAGACACTTTACAAAAGAAGACATACACGAGGCCAATAAACATAAGAAAATGCTCATCAGCACTGGTCATTAGAGAAATGCAAATCAAAACTACATTGAGATACCATCTCATGCCAGTTGGAATGGCGATCATTAAAAAATCTGGAGACAACAGATGCTGGAGAGGATGTGGAGAAATAGGAACACTTTTACACTGTTGGTGGGAATGTAAATTAGTTCAACCATTGTGGAAGACAGTGTGGTGATTCCTCAAGGACCTAGAAATAGAAATTCCATTTGACCCAGCAATCCTATTACTGGGTATATATCCAAAGGATTATAAATCGTTCTACTATAAAGGACACACACATACGAATGTTCACTGAGGCACAGTTTACAATAGCAAAGACCTGGAACCAACCCAAATGCCCATCGATGATAGACTGGACAGCGAAAACGTGGCACATATACACCATGGAATATTATGCAGTTATCAAAAACGATGAGTTCGTGTCCTTTGTAGGGACATGGATGAACCTGGAAACCATCATTCTCAGCAAACTGACCCAAGAGCAGAAGATCAAACAGCACATGTTCTCACTCATAGGCAGGTGTTGAACAATGAGAACACATGGACACAGGGAGGGGGGCATCACACACTGGGGTCTGTTGTGGGGAAATAGGGGAGGAAAAGTGGGGGGTGGGGAGCTGACGAGAGATAGCATGGGGAGAAATGCCAGATATAGGTGAAGGGGAGGAAGGCAGGAAATCACACTGCCATATGTGTACCTATGCAACAATCCTGCATGTTCTTCACATGTACCCCAAAACCTAAAATGCAATTTAAAAAATAAATAAATAAAAATAAAAACAACTAGAGGGCCAGATCTGGCCTGCAGGCTAACCCCTGTTAGGTTCCCAACCCCTGTCCTAGAGCCTTCAGATCCCATTGATGTGGTGAGAGCTACAGAGGGGCATTGTTTCAGAAGACCTTAAGGTCTCCTCTGCTGATTGGGGTAGAAGTAAAGTTGGGATTCTCTCTCCCCTGTCTTTTTGATATTGGATACATGTAATTTGGTATTTGCTAACTGGTGCCATAAATGGGGGGATTCAGGGTTATGTCTCTGTCGACGAAAAGAGTCAAACTCTGTAAGATATTTGAAGAGATTTATTCTGAACTGAATATGGGTGACCATGGCCTGTGACGCAGCCCTCAGATGTCATGAGAACAGGTGCCCATGGTGGCTGGGGTGCGGCTTGGTTTTATACACTTTAGGGAGGCATGAGACATCAATCAAATACATTTAAGAAATACGCTGATGATACTTACAGGGGAGATGCCATGATCACGAAGGTGGTTTTCCCAGGGCGAGGCTTATACATTGCACTCTGGATGTGCTGACCCCTGCCATTTCCCCAAATGTGGGAAACTCGACTGCATAATTTGTGGGAATGGGGGACTGCATTCGCGCTCTCCCCTGTATAAAAAAACAAACATTGATTTGGTTCAGGAAGCCGAGACAACTCAAAGCGGGAGTGGGGGGGCTTCCAGGCCACAGGTAAATTTAAACATTTTCTAGTTGACAACTGGCTGAGTCTAAAGACCTGAGATCAAAGGAAAGGGAATGTTAGGTGAAGGTAAAAGATTGTGGAGACAAGATCCTTTTGAAGTCATACAGTGGCTGCCCCCTTAGAGACAACAGATGACAAATGTTTTCTATTCAGATCTTTAAAAGTTGCTAGCCTTTTAGTTAATCTTTTTAGGACTGGGAGGGCATGGAAGAAAAAGATCTTGCTGTGTTAACAGAATTTCTTTACAGATGCAAATTTCCCCCCACAAAGGACAGCTTTGCAGGGCCATTTCAAGATATGGCAAAGAAACATGTTTTGGGGTAAAATATTTTGATTTTCTTCCTTGTCTCCTAAGGTTATGCCAGAGTCAGATTGGAAGGCAAGTCACAATACAGAGGGTTACATAAAACCCATTTGATGAGAATTTATGGTTTGTAGGGCATGACTCCCCAGACCCCTTAGATAGGAATTTGGACAGGATGAAAAATCAGAGCTTAGTTCTCATCTCTAACACCAGGATTCCGGAAGTACCCCAGTAGAAGGTTTAAAAAACCCAGGCTTGGGGGGGCCAACCTGGGTTTGAAACACATCTCCATTTGCCAGCGATGTGATCTTGAGTGAGTTATGGAACTCCTGTATGCTTCAGTTTCCTCATCTGTAGAATGGAAGTTATAATACCTATTTTGTAGGATTGAGAACATTAAAGGTGATAACAACATGCAAAGTGATGAGTTGGGCTTCTCAATCTCAACACTTGACATTTGGGGCTAGAAAATTTCTTTTCCTGGGGGTGCTGCACTGGGTGGAAGGATGTTTATCACATCTCAGGCCTCTACCTATAAAATGCCAGTAGCACCCCTCCCCCAATTTTGACAATCAAAAATGTCTCTGGACTACTGCCTGGACTCTTCCTTCAATCCTCCAACGACTGTGGCCTTCTGGGTTAAATCACTGACTATTCTCACCAAAGACAGCTCTGCTGAGAGCAAAGAAAGAAGAATCTTCTAGGATCTCTCATCTGAGATCAAGAAAGATCAGCTGCTGGCCCTCCAGGTTAGGTAATCTAGCTTGGAAAGCCATATCCATTTTTTTTCTTTACCACAAGGTGGCACTCCGATGCCTGCATTGGAAACTGGGTCGGCTGAAGAGAGGGCTCTTTGGACCACCGTGCAAATAGAAAGCCAATGCTCTCATCCATATTTGCTTTACAATCTATGCT